TGTATGTGTGTATATATATGTATATAAGGGTTTAGGTGTATGCATGTATATCTGCATGTGTACATACATATCAAGACATGCGCATGCATACATTCACCGCGATCCCAAGCCTAGCGGTTTTGTGAAAAAACCCTAAACCCTAAACCCAACCCTAAACCCTAAACCCTAAACCCTATTTTGTGACTCTGGCGAGGCCAGCGACCGCACAGGCCCAATCATGGCACAGTCCTCGGCATGTTCGAGGACGTTCGCGTTTAAAGGGGTGTTATGCGGGTCTGTTGTTTGTGCCTATGCGTTTCGACGGGGACGCAGGTGGGATTTTTGCCCGGGCTTTTCCGCTCTTCACAGGGGTTCTAGAGGGTACATTGGGCTTCCGGGTTCTTGTTTCGGGAAAACGCCTACACCTGAGAAAGCACCTACCTTGTCGGGCCTGCAGCTTTTCGCGAAATGGCGTGCCACAGGGCCAGGGGTCTTCCGCAATGTCAGTGGTTTAGGGGTTAGGGGTTTAGGGTTTAGGGGTTTAGGGTTTAGGGGTTTAGGGTTTAGCGTTTAGGGTTGGTTCTGCAAGAGTCTTTCGCCGTTGCACCAAGCAGAGCTGTGGTTTGCCACGGCTAAGAAGTGCGCGGGTGGAGCTGTCGAGGGCGTGCGGTTTTTTCAAAAGGCTTAAAGGCGTTTCGGGTGTAAGGGTTGCATAACCGAGTGGAAGTGATGGGGTTGGGGGCGTCAGGTTTGAGCGAACCGATCGCACGGCAAAGCCCTAAACCTTCAACTTGTGTCAAACCTTCAGCCTGTACCTTGAACCCTCACCCGAAAACTGTTTGAAAAGGGAAAGGATGACATATTGCGGGTCGCACAGCAAGCTCTGATTTTCAAGTTAATTCACCGTGTTTCGAAGCATGAGCTTGATAACATGAAACCGCGCCCCAGATTGAAAAATACCTGCCGCCAAGCCTCATGATTAAGCTTGCCCTACAAACAACAATAACAATCATCGTCATCATCATCGCCATCATCACCACCATCATCATCGTCGTCGTCGTCATCATCATCATCATCAAGATCATCATCATCGCCATCATCAGTTCCTAAGCCTTGGACCTTTGCAGCAAGTCCTACCCTGAACCCCCAACCCTGCCAAACCCCACACTTTCCCTAAGACCCTAAACCCAGTATCCTGAACACAAGACCCGAAACCGTAGACCCGCCCGAAACCCTAAACCCTAAACCCTAAACCCCCGAAACATGTGCCCAGGTCTTCAACTTCAGCAATCCCTTGGAGCCACAAAAGCCAGATACCCAGGAAGAGCCCGAACGACGGGGCAGCATAGGAGGCTTTGACCGGACAGTTTTTTTAATTATTATCTGTAGATCTTCTATGTGCTTATTGCTGGAAGGTTGGTCTTATAGTGCTTGTAGCAGGCTCGATAGCTAGCATTCTGTCCTTCCTTGCGAATCTGCGAAAGTAAACAGTAATCCACTATACGCCAAGAGCTTTTTCAGTTTGTTTTTGGCTGAATGTCACGGGGCATGTGGTGCTATCGCGGGTTTGGTGCAGTCCTGTTTCAAGGGCTTCGGCGTCTAGAGCTATTGTATTAGTTTGGGGATCCCTTATTGTAGTCTATAGTTATAGTAGAATATACTCCAAAACCCTAATCCAATCATTGAGCTATCTTGAGGTTTGATGGTTTTAGAGCTCGGAGGAGCGTTTCGAGAGGCTCCTTTCTTCGGAAAGCCAAGGACACTTCGAGGGCTCTGAGAAGGGTTTAGGGGTTAATCTAGGGGCCGAAATAATTGCCTATATTATTTTGGGCGTCCCTTATTATAGTTATAGTAGAATATACTCCAAAACCCTATTCCAATCATTAAGGGCCCTACATTAGGGGTTTTTAGGGTTGGGGGTTTGGGGTTTCAGAGTGGTCCGTTGTCTGCATGGCTTGTTTCAAGCTCTCGGGTTCAGCTGAGTTTGTTTCTGAGCTTGGTTTCTCGTTGCCCGCACTTCTGTGGCTTCCCGAACCTTCCTCCCAACCTAAACCCAAAACCCTAGACCCTAAACCCTAAACCCTAAACCCTAAACCCTAAACCCTGAACCCTAAACCCTAAACCCTAAACCCTAAACCCTGAAACCATCAAAGCTGCACCATGAGCCCTGAACCCAACAGCCTGAACTGGTCAACCTCAAATCGATTTCCGCGGCAAGAAAGCACCTTAAACTTCTGAGCGGTCGGATGCAACACAGGGGCGACCCTTGGGGTGTAAGTAGGACCCTGATCTCGACCTTCGGGTTCAGGGTAGTTTAGGGTTTAGGGTTTGGGGTTTGGGGTTTCAGGTTCAGGACCCTAACTCTAAACTCGAAACCCTAGGTTTAGGGCCTCAACCCCCAAAATCCCTGACCTGGGCTATGGTTCGGTTTTGGTACGGGCCCTGTCCGAAGAGGGGAAGCAGACATGTAGCCGTTGAAGGGCCTCCATGAACAGCCCGGTAAGCCAAAAGGTCCGGGCTCTGAGCCAGAACCTTACACTCTAAACCCTAAGCCCTAAACCCGAAACCCTAAACCCTAAACCCCTAAACCCTAAACCCTAAACCCCAAACCCTAAACCCTAAACCCGACACCTAAATCCTAAACCCCTAAACACCCTAAACTCGGCTCAGTTCCTTCACTTGGAAGCGGGACTGGTACTACTTCCGGACCTGGGTCCAGCACCCGAAGGTGCATTGGGCCTACCCTTGACTTTCCAGCTGGCTTACTTTTTCCGGATTTTTGGATTTCGCGACGGGACATGGAAGTGTTACTAAAGTGTGGGATCCTCCTCCAGTCAGGATAGATCAATGCTTGCCACCGGGTTTTGCACTTTGGGCTCACTGTCTCTCTTCATCTCGCATCCGTCCGTTGGAGTACGTGTCGCCCTTTGATTGAGATGGGGAAGAGGCTGTGCAGTCACGTCGTGTGTGGCGTTATCACCACATTTCTTGCTTATGCCATCTCTCATATGCCAAACCGGACTTGGGTTTAGGGTTTAGGGTTTAGGGTTTAGGGTTTAGGGTTTAGGGTTATCACCACATTTCTTGCTTTGCCATCTCTGGGTTAGTGATCTGCAATCGAAAAGGGAATCATCTAGCACTCTTTGGGTCACGGTTCTTCTGCGCAGGCTGCAACTTGATACGCATGTGCCGCCGTCAGCTCAGCCCCAAACCCTGAACCCTAAACCCTAGACCCTATACCTCAAACCCTAAACCCTAAACCCTAAACCTTAAACCCTAAACCGTCCTAAACCCTAAACCTGAAACCCCAAACGCTAAAAGCGCCCGCACCTCAGACCCTAAAGCTTCTCCCAAAAAAGAAAGAAACTCTAGGGATGCTGGCTCTGAAACTTCCTTCTTCGGTATTCCGCTCCCAAAGTCTGCGATACTATACTATGCTATACTCCCGTAACCTACCAGAACCTACTTTTTTCTCAGGTCCTATAAATCCAAGTTTAGGGTTTATGATAAGAGTCTACCAAAAAAAGTGGGTTTTGGTAGGTTAAGGTATACAATAAGATAGCATAACCGAATACTATTATAATACGACATATATAGTATACTAAAATAGCCCCAAGCCTTACAGCGCCCGACAGTCGCACAAACCTTGGAAGCCAGGACTGCAGTGGTGGCGTAAAGGCCGCACTCCGTTTTGGCGGTCCATCGCCGTGGGGAGTGGCCCCTAAACCCTAAACCCTGCACCCTAAACCCTAAACCTCAAACCCTAGACCCTAACCTTTTTTCCCTAAACCTTAAGCCCTAAACTCTAAACCCTAAACCTTAAACCCTAAACCTTAAACTCTAAACCCTAAACCTAAACCCTGGTTTTTTGGTCTCTGTGGCTTCCGGCTCTCTTGGGTTTCTGTGCTTGGGGCCCCTGGTGCCAGGATTGCGGGCCGAAAGTTTGTGATTGGGTCTAGTGTCGTGAGCTTTGGGTTTGGGTTTAGGGTTTAGGGTTTAGGGGTTTGGGGTTTAGGGTTTAGGGTTTATTTAGGGTATGGGGTTTCAGGGTTTGGTGCATTTTGGGTGGTTTGCGGAGGCTGCCGCATGTCTGTTTCGGACCACCAAACTCTGAAAAGGCTGCATTGCACAGAGCAGAGCAGAAGCAAACAATCGGAAGAGTCCGCGAGGGTGCGGAGTTGGGAGAAGTTTTCTGTCGAATCTTTTTGAGGTTTGGGGGTCTAGGGTCTAGGGTTTGGTTGAGGGTTCTTGATTTAAACAGGATTTAGGGTTGCCTCAACAGCTCTGATTCCCGAATAAGAATGTCCCTTTCTAGTCCCTGCATAATTCTGCCGCAAAGATACCCCCC